AGTGTCAAGTGTTTGGTCTGAGACCAGATTTGAACTGAGGTCCTCCTGACTTCAGGGCCAATGCTGTATCCACTGTGCCACCTAGCGCCCAGCAATCACTTTGCTAAGCAGACAAGATACCAAGAAAGATGTGAGACAGTCTGTGCTTTCAAGGAGCTCACCTTCTAATTGAAGGAGACAACACATGTAGGAGAGTTTAGCTGAAAAGTTAATGGAAAGAAAAGTCTGATGATCCTTAGAGAATAATAAGTGAGGGCTAAGAAAGTCAGTAGGCTGCATTCACAGCTGCACAATGTCCAGAACTTACTTTGAAATTTAAAAGCCCTGTGGTTTCATCAATGTGCATAGGTGCTTCCTGCATCGACATTGATTGTAACACTTCTGTACTTTATAGATGGTTTTGTGAATTGGTCATGACCACACTTTTGATCTGGTGGCCAGCATTTTGGTGATGGGCCTCTTTGAATTTAATGCCATCTGATAAACTTCCTATAGAAGCGTAGAGTTAGAGGGAATAGGAAATATGAGATACAGGAGTCAGGGTCATCTTTGATGGATTGTAGACTAGCGGTTCTCTGGAACTGGCAACACATAGAATCCTTAGAGTCAGGATCATTGATCCTCAAAAAAGAGCTGAAAGGGATTTCAGATGCTATCCAGTCCATTTTGCGGATGGCCCATGAAAGGTAACCTTGACCCAGCTCACCAAGGCAGCAAACAAAGAAGAATTTGAACCCAGGTCCTCTGACAATAGAACCAGTTCTCTTTTCACTGCACCACACTGTCTTTGAAAAGTTATCTGGTCATTCACACATAATTGCCAACAACCCCTTCATTTGCTGATAAAGAAACTGAGCTCCAGAGCTGGGAAACAAACCATGGAGTAGTAGAAAGAGCCCTGGATTTGGAGTTAGATGACATGGATTCAAATCCCAGTTTGCCACTTGTTTTCTGAGTAACCTCAGTCAAGTAATAATTTCTCTAAGCTTCAGTTTCCTCATCTGTAAGATAAGGGGGTTAGGCTTCATGTTTTCTAAGGTAACTTCTGGAACTAAATCCATAATCTTTTGACCTAGATTTTCTGACTCAAGCCCAGTGTTTTTATATTATATCACTATGGGGAAGGGAAGGAAAGGGGAGTAGTGGGATTGTATGGGGAACACTTTCTCCTGCCTTTAAAAATAACTAGAAATTTGCAAAGTTGAGATTCTATAAACTTCAATCAATAGGAATTTCTTTTTCTCATCTAGTCTGAATCATTGATGCTGAATACAAAAACAATTTCTGATCCTGGGCTAGATGGCAGTGTGACATCTCTGGCCTTGCTCATTTTCAAGGAAGGTTGTCTCTTTGGGAAAAAAATGCTTGGGAAATCATTGTTTTACAAAAACACAGATGGTTCTCAGGAGATGAAGAACACCTTAGGGACCAACTGATTCAGTACTTATAGACTTAAAATACCCAAACAGAAAATGAAACTCATGACCTCGCTGTGTGTCTCAGGAAGATGCTACTGTGGATGAAGAGCTGTTTAGGCATTTTGGAGAAAATGGGATTCCAAGAACAAATGTGGTCTTTGCTTACCTTTTGCTTTGCTTTAGAGAGCAATGTGAGATTGCTGAGTGACTAGAACAAAAGACAGAAGGGGAGAGCTTTCTATTACCACACCAGGGTAGAGGAAGGTGAGTTTTCTAGGTATGATGTTCAGATTGCTCAGTTCTTAGATTATGTACAATCAACTTTGCATTATCCTTTTACACATAATAACAATATGTTTGCATAGCAGTTTATAGTTATAAAATGCTTTATACATATTTTCTCTGTTTCTCACGTGTTTATTCCTGACAATTTTCTGCCTTGGACTTGCCATGGAATTTTGATGATCAGTTATTTAGTTTATTTTTTGGGGTGGTGGTGGTGGTGGTGTGGACCAATGGTTTTATTTATGTGGAAACTCAGATGTCTGGAACACTAAAATTTTAAGTGACTTTTTTCAGGTTGCACAGAAAGTGTGTCTCAGACTTGATACTAGGTTCTTTCTGACTCTAAGACAGGGCCTCTACTCAATAACTTTACTTACTCACTTATAATCGTTGCCTATAACATAGAATAGACGAGAAAGGGGGTGGGAAGCAGTTCAGCAAAACTAATCAATCCATCAGCTGTGTCTAATAGCATATGCAATGTTCCACATTCATAACCCCCCCAACTCTGCAAAAAAAAGGAGTGAGATATGTTTTCTCATTTCTTCTTTTGGACTGAGCTTGAGCATGATAAATACACAGCATTCAATTGAAAGATTTTTGTTCTTTCCATTTATATTAACAGGCATGTATCAAATGCTATGAGCAAGGTGATGTGCAAGGTGCTGTGAATATAACCATCATCTCCTCCTTCCTTCCTTCTCCCCCACCAAAAAAAATTCAGTCTCTTCTCTCAGGGAGCTCATATTTTATAAGGGGAGAGTCATAATTATGTATAATACAAGATGCAATAAGGACGAAAGAGAAATTGCAACATTGTGCTCTTGGAAAGAGGGCTAGAGCTGTATTCAGAAAGACCTGAGTTCAAGTCCTTTCTCTAATACTTACTGGTTGTAGGACTATGGGCAAATCACTTAGCATCACTAAGCCTCAGTTCCCTGATCTGTAAAATGAGCCTATTAATACCTGTATATCACTGGGATTCTGTGAGACTCAAATGAAATAATACATGCAAAACACTTTGCAAACTTCAAAGCACAGTACAAACATCAATTATCATTATTGTATTATTATTATTTTTTTTTCTGAATTAATTTACCCTGTATCCCTCCCCCTATTAGAAGATAGAAGCAGAATGGAACTTAGAAGAAAATATGCATTTCTCGGCTTTCCAGGTAGAGAAGGACCTGTGCTAGGAAAGCACTGGACTAAGGAGACTGGATAGACACAGCCAGAACAGACAGAACTCTGAGCTGGCAAAGGTGGATTCTCTCTCTCCTCTATTTTTAGATGATTGCCTATTCGGGGGTACTCTGCTCAATATTTACCTGGTCATTAAAGTAACCTTTATCAATGCCAAGTTATCCCTCACCTGAATCACTGCAATGCTTTCTATAGTGATGGGTGAGGGCCCGTACTTGCCCTGTCTAGCCTACTAACAACTCTTGGAGGTCTTGGTTCTTTCTTGAAAACAGCAATCCCATGGCACCACCCTTCCCCCACTTCTCATGCTCCTACTTAGTTACAAGGAGTTGTAAGATCTGAGTGGTAATATATTCCTAAGCTAGTTACTTGGCTTTGATGAAGTTTACTTTGGTGTTGAGACCCTGGAGTTGAGTGTGACTGATGGATTCAGAAAAGAAGGTCTAGGTGTGGGACATCTTTGAGAGGTATCTTTAACCACTAAACTTTATTGACATTTAAGCTCACTTGTTCTCACTTGTCTTCTGGCAAAAGAATTTCTAGCCTAGTAAAACAGATAGGAAAAGTATGGGGTGGAGACAAAAGGGTCTTTCTGGGCCCCTAAAATCATATCACACAGGAAGTCCCCCCCATTTATTTTTTTAAATTTTAATAAGAGATTTTTTTGATGAACAAAAATCTATTTTCTCTGTTTCCCACTTCCCTTTCATTGTATGGAAGAAAAAAAATAATTAAAAAAACCCATATGAAAAATATGTAAAGTGAAGCAAAACAAATTCCTGCATTAGCTCTGTCAAAAAAAAAAAAGGCTTATTCTGTTCTTAAGTCTATCACTTCTCTGTCAGGAGGTGGGTGGCATACTTTATCTTTGATCATCTGAAATTGTGGTTGGCCATTATGTTGATCAGAATTCTTGAGTCTTTCAAATCTATTTGTCATTACCATGTTGTTGTGGTAGTGTATAAATTGTTGATTTTGCTCCCTTTACTCAGTATTTAAGATGCTCCAGGTTTCTCTGAAAGTGTCCCTTTCACCATTTCTTATAGTATAATCATATCCTATTACATTCTTACACCATAATTTGTTCAGCCCTTCCCCAGCTGATAGGCACCTTCATAGTTTCTAGCACAAAAGAGTTGCTATAAATAATTTTGTACATGTTAGACCCTTTCCTCATTCTTTGATGTCACAGGGTAAAAGGATATGCACAGTTTAGTAACTCTTTGGGCAGAATAACAAATTGCTTTCCATAATGGTTAGATTACTTAACAATTCCATCAATAGTACAATAAGGTTTTCCCACAACCCCTCCAATATTTGTCATTTTCCTTTTTTTGTTAACTGCCAATCTGATGGGTGTGAAGTAGAACCTCAGAGTTGCTTTAATTTTTATTTCTGTAAGTAAAAATGATTTGGGGAATTTTCATATGGCTATTCCTAACTGAAATTTCTTCCTAAACTGCTTATTCATATCCCTTCATCATTTATCAATTAGAAAATGGCTTTTATTCCTATATATTTGAATTGATTCCTTATGTATCTTGTCTACGAGAACTTTATCAGAGAAACTACTGCAAAAATTCTTTCCCCCAGTTACTTGTGTCCTTTTTAATTTTAGCTGCATTGGTTTTATTTTGTGCAAAAACTTTTACATTTTGTTTAACCAAAACTGTCCATTTTATCTTATGTGATCCTTTTGTTCGGTCATGAAATCTTTCCCTATCCATAGTTCTGAAAGGTAATTTCTTTATTGCTCTTCTAATTTGCTTATATGTCACCATTTATGTCTAAGTCATGTACCTATTTAGACTTTATCTTGGTATAATCTTGGTATATAGATGTTGATCTATACCTACTTTCTGCTGATCACTTTCTCATTTCCCCAGCAAATTTTGTCCCTTCTTGGTTTCTAAGGCCAATTCTGCCTAGAGGAAATAAAATCATTAGACATGGGGCAGGAGTGGGGCAGGATCAGGAGAGGTCAGGGTTCAGAGTTTTCCAATCATTTTTATGTTCCTTTGAGTGAAGGAAATGAAGAAGAAGGTGAAGAGTTGTATATCTTTCTAATGGGATTCTTTCTTCTTGTTCCCACAGGTTCCTTAATAGAAAATGAGAAGAGGAAATCAGTCTGAAGTGACTATGTTCATTCTTGCAGGACTAACAGATGAGCCAGAGCTTCAGCTACTCCTCTTCTTCATATTCCTGGGCATCTATTCCATCACTATGATGGGGAACCTGGGCATGATCACACTGATTAGATTTAGTTCTCATCTCCATACCCCCATGTACTATTTCCTCAGCAGTTTGTCTGTTTTAGATGTTTGTTATTCCACTGTCATTACCCCCCAAATGCTAGTGGGATTTTTATTCAAAGATAAAACTATCTCCTATCCTAGGTGCATGACTCAACTCTTTTTCTTCTGCATTTTTGCTATTTCTGAGTGCTACATGTTGGCTGCCATGGCTTATGATCGCTACGTTGCCATCTGTAGCCCCCTACTGTACAACATCCTCATGTCCCCTCAAGTCTGCTCCTTGTTGGTGATTTCTGTGTTCTCTGTGGGCTTCACTGATGCAGTGATCCACACAGGTTGTTTACTGAGGTTGCCATTCTGTGGGTCAAATGTAATCAGTCATTACTTCTGTGACATTGTGCCCCTCATCAAACTCTCCTGCTCCAGCACTTACCTAGATGAGCTCTTGATTTTTATTATTGGTGGATTCAACATGATAGCGACGAGCTTGACAATCATAATTTCTTATGCTTTCATCCTCTCCAGCATCCTCCGCATCAACTCCAAAGAGGGCAGGTCAAAAGCCTTTAGTACCTGTAGTTCCCATCTCATGGCAGTCACTGTGTTTTATGGGTCCCTCATGTCCATGTATTTCAAACCTGCTTCCAGTATCAACCTGGCTCAGGAAAAAGTGTCTTCTGTGTTTTATACCACAGTGATTCCCATGCTCAACCCTTTGATCTACAGCCTGAGAAATAAGAATGTGAAGACCGCATTGAAGAAACTCACAGAAAGGAAAATATTCTCATAATTGCTATATATTTTACAACTATATTTCTTGCCAATAAAGTAAACGTGATAGCTCAAATTTTATTTTTCAATCCTTTTCCACTTCAAGTTTAAGTATTTATTTATTACTCTCTAATACTTATCCAACCTGACTGGAAGAGTGCCTACAATTACAGAAGATTAATTATTTTTCTTTCTCTCCTGTTCCTGATTGCTCTTCCACACAGCTGCCAAATTGATATTTCTAAAGTGCAGGTCTGACTATGTATGACCATACTGTCTCCTCCAATGAAATATAAACTCCTAGAAGGCAAAGACTGTCCTTTTGGTCTTTGTATTTTCAGTACCGAGCAATGTCAAGCACATACAAGATGCTTAATAAACACTTATTGATTGAATGACGGATTACTTAAGAAGCTTTAGTGATTCTCTATTACTTTTAGGGAAAGATACAAACTTCTTTGTCACTTAAAGCCCTTTAAAATCTGGCTCCAACCTGTCTTTCCAGATTTAACTTAGAATGAACATTCTCAGATAATAGCTCTAATTTTACAATTATTGAGAGTTATTGAAAGATATCAAAATCAAGAATATTTGATGTAAAACTAGTTGCAACCAGAGGACACCCATTGCCTTACTTCATCTCCCACAATGAAGCTCATTTCAGGTCTTGATAACAGCAGCCTAAATGAGTTGAGGGTCTCTCCAGGTCATAGGAGCAATGACCCCTTTCCTGGAGATTGCTTTTATCCCCCAAAGTTGGATGCTGCATTAACTTATGGTTGCTTTGGCAATTGTCAGAACAGGTCTAGGAGTCTATGAGAAGGAGATAACATACAATAGCTATGTACAAAGAAGATGTGTGTGTGTGTATTTCTGTGGCTGTGTCTGTGTCTGTGTATAGGATAAATTAGAAATCAACAGAGG